ACGATAGGGTGTTGTACCTTGAAACGACATGACAAGCATATTGGTTTCACTATACCTTGAGACAACTAAAAATTTTAACATACACTAGGGTGTACTATGCTTGGTACACCTTGTGTAAATGTACACCATTGTTGTACTTCTATTTAAAAAAAAAAAGAGATTCTACTTGCTTAATTATAGGAATTATGTTATTCATTCCATATTTATTATTTACTAAATTAGTTATTTTCCACGTTCATTCATTTTTGAGTTTTCAAAACAGAGAGACAAATTTTTAGAGAGAGAAATTGAAATTTCAGAGAGAGAAGTTAAAGGTTAACAGGAAAAATGATGGCACAAGATGAATTTCATCACGATTCTAATCGTCGATTTGCTATGGATGATCACAATGAAGATTTTTGTGATGATAATGGTGAATTTGTTTAATTCGAATCTAAAGAAGAAGGTAATTTATGTTTCTAATTTTGACAATCAAGTAAGAGGATGAATAATGAAATGTTCTTTAATTTATTGTGTGCATTGTTTTATGTTTGTTGATAGTGTGGTTCAAAATTCATTGTAACATTATTGAGAATTTTATAATTTTGATATTTGATGAATTTGTGTATTAAATTTTAGATCAATATGACAAAGGTCGAAGATGATGTTCTTTTTAAAATATTGTTATGTTCGTTGTTATTAATAGGTTTGAAATAAAAGTTGAATTTTAATTTAATTCACATGTTCTGTTTAAATATTACTTATGTTCTTTTGTTTTATCATTAAGTAGTTCTTTTATGATTTTGTTCTTTTGTTAATCTTGTAATTTATCTCTTAGGTTCTTTGATGTATTCTATTTTAACATATGTCATTTAAAAATTAGTTTTAGCGTCATTTTTAATTATTATAATATTAATTTTGAATATTATTTGATAATTCTATATTTTTTCATTATTAACTATCATTCAATAACTTTTTTTTTTTTTTTTTAAATCAGGATCATGAGGGTTGATGACGTACGATATTGTTTTGGGACCTCCTCTATTGATGATTGATTTTTAGACCATAAGATCATCCGTGATATTAATAAAGAACATGATAATATTATATAATGCACATTATTTATATTTGCCTACCATGATCCGAGGACAAAATGTAAAGAACATTTCACAATAAACAAAGAATATTATGTGACTATAGAAGTACATTAAACTTACCACCAAAGAACATGGACATTTAAAATAGTTTATTAAAAGATCTACAAAAAATCATTATATAATATAATAATGGACATATGGAAATAATGTAGCATTAATAATGAATTGTATATTACAAACAAATATAAAGTACATCATCATTTATGATAAAGAACATTGTTAAACATACAAAGAACATTACAGGTAATATGCATGGCCATTAGACCAAATTATGAGTATAAAAAAATATTTATAATATAAATAATGAACATAATCATACTATGTGATGAACAACATGACAAAATTTTGAAATTAAAATTTAAATTTTGAATTTTAAAAATTAAATCTTGATTTATTTTTATGGAAAATTCTTTTAGAGGATAATTATTATGAGAAAATGATTTTCTTAAAAAAGATTTACCATTAAATGCGGGCTACAAAGATAAAGTAATTATATTTTACTTATTTAAAACCATGCTAAAAAATTGTCGTGTTTTTTACTTTTTAACAATATGTTATTTTCACTTTAATTATATGTTATTTACATTCCATCTCAAAGATTTAAAAGTACTGTGTTCTTTATTGTAAACACTATGTACTTCCTGCTTTTTTTTATTTTATCTTTTTTTTAAGGGTACCTTTCTCGGTACACCTAAGTGTAGGAACCATGCATTGTGAGATGACTGGACATTATACCTTGAGACGAAAGGGCAAGCATATGACGAGTTCGAGAAAAAGAGACGTTCTCGTTGTGATGTTATTTTTGCAAGTTCGAAAAGAATGACGTTCCTGCTTGTTTGATGATTGATGGGTTCGAAAAGCCGAACATTCTCATCATTCAAAAGGGAAAAAAAATTGAAGGCTACATCACCAAATTAGTGCATCTCGACTTCAACAAAGTGAAGAATTTCCAATCGCAACGTTCGTGTTATTTCTGTTACGATTGCGGGAGGGTGTTATAGAGTTATCGGAAAATATATGTGGTGATATATTTTCCCTAGATTTAATCAGGAGAATAATATATTTAGGTTTATTTATGTTAAAGATATTATTTAGTGAATATATCTTTACGATTTATACTTATGGTGGTATATCTTTTAGGAGATTATTTCTTATCTTATGATCTAAGGTTTTGTATTAATACTCTACCTATTGATGAATAATAATCAAGCCATTCCATTATCTCTTTCACCCTAATTTGTCAACCTCCATTAATTTTCCAAATTATAAGATTAGAGGTTTTTCTTATAGAGGAATATGATATTAAGAGAACATATTAAGAGAACAAATTATCATTCCAATAGTTTATGAGAAAAATCAAGTTTATGAGTCTGATGTACAAAAAAATGTAAATTAGGGGTAGGATGGTCATTTTAGCTAATAAATTAGGGGTAGTTTTGTCATTTCACCTAACAAATGAGGGGTAGCATTGTTATTTCACCTAATAAATAAAGGGTAGTTTTTTTTTTTTTGGAAAGAAATGAAGGGTAGTTTTTTTATTTCGTCTTTTTTTTTTCTTTATTTAAAGGTGGCTGATTTAAAAAAAAAAAAAAAAAAGGTAAATCAGCCTGATTAACTGGTTGTTCCTCAAAGTTTATGGTGAATTATGAATTTTATTTGTAACAATTTTGATCGTCGACTAGTTTATTTTATAATGATATTGTGCAGAGATGAAATTGACTCATATGTTGTCGAAAGAAAAAGTATTTCTCTAGCTATTTTGGATATTATTGCTTAATTTTTTCATTTTCTGTATATTTGAGGTTGAATATGATATTCATTTGATTAAGATGCATGTTAAATTAAAATTTCAATATTTTATATAGTAGTTTAGAAAAATAAATATCTTAGTATATGAAAATAAGCTTATTGCATACCCTATTCACACAAATAAAAATTTGCAAAGAGGCTTTCTTCCCACTTTCCAATAAAACACAAGTTTATCGCCTTAATAAAAAAATTATATGGCAAGTATGTAAGTTTTTTGCCTTGAGATTTGTGCTTTTATTATTAAAATAATCAATTCTTGTAATTTTGTCTAGCTTTGTTCGTAAAAATCAATTTGTGCTTCTTTAAGCTCAACTTCACCAATAACTAAGTACTCTCATACGAATCTAGAATAACTTAGTTCCGTCTAGGGTTTTCTCTTGGGAGGGTTTCCTTCTATCCATTGCTAGTCTTTGCTTCGTTCTCGAAGATTGTTCCTTTTCCCTTTCTTTTTACTTTAATTTGATCCTTTTTCAATCTTGTTTTTATTTCAACCCTTTATGGAAAATCCCGAAAAAGAAAACAACAATATTTTAGACCTTAATAAAGATGTGGACGGTATTGATTGGGTGGATGACGGAGGTGGATAAGAGGAGGCGCAGATAGAGTTGGCAGTCGTGGGAAGAATTCACACATCCCGCAACATAAACTCTAATGCCCTAATTAGCACGTTGAAGAAAGTCTGGAACCCTAAGCATGGTTGTGAAGCGAACGTGATTGGGGAAAAATCCTTTTATTTTCAGTTTCATTATTGGAAGGACAAGCAATTCGTGATGGACTTGCAACCGTGGCACTTCGATAACCATGTTATGATTGTAGATGATGCTAAAGGTAACTCAAAACCCTCTAAAATTCCCCTTCATCATGTGCCCTTTTGGATCCGTGTGTATGATCTACCTTTTAGGGGTAGGAATAATGAAGATAATGCTAGGAGACTTGGTGATAAAATTGGGTCCTATATTACTATGGACAAATCAGATGTAATAGGGATTAACAAATCTCTAAGAATTCGAGTTAGCATTGATGTAAATAAGCCGCTTAAGAAGACGGTGGAATTAAGAACGGAGAGGGGAATAATGGAGGTGCCAATAAAGTATGAGAAGCTGCCTGTTTTTTGTTATATTTGTGGATTATTAGGCCATGGTGAGAAGGATTGCGAAGAGAATGTGGTGCGAAGAAACTTGAATGAGAAGCTGCAAGTTACTACTCCATGGAAGGCCACAAAAAACGAGAGTTATGATGAGGAAAGTGGCCTAAGCAGTGCGGTGAAGAAACTCTTTATTACGAAGCAATCTCATAAGCCTCTTACAGGGAATGAGAAGCTGGAAGAAGTGATGGTCCAAGAAGTGACATGCGCACCATAGTCATCAGGAAATCGCTACTACAGAAAAGTGTGAGGAGGCAATCCCTATTTTGGGTTCCATGAATCATGGTGATGGGGTACCATTATCTTTTCTTGAATGAAAATGTCACAAAGAAATGGTATCATTAATAGTTGTAGATCAACAATTTGATAATCGATGGGCATACTTTTCTATTTCAGTGGAATGAAAGTTAGTTTGAAATGATCGACCAAGTTATCTAGTAATACAACTCCAAATATTATTTTTATAAATAAAGAAATCAGAACATAAAAAATAAAAAAATAAAAATAAAAATAAAAAGGGATAATACATTAGATTGCAATACTAAATTAAAGTAATTATAATCATCACTAATGTTGCACAAAGTTTACCATTAAAACATAAAGAAGTTACATTCATCTAAAAATCACTGAACAAGGATATACTAAGTGAGTAAAATTCAGAAGAATGTTCAAAAAAAGATTTCACCATCAAACCACCATTGCCATGATTAACTGTTGATAACTTACCCAAAAAACAACATAACTTAATTACTGCCTACTTATAAGATTATACTAAGCAAACGATGTTTAATTCAACCAAAATAAACATATAATAATCTAGTACACTAATTCAGGCTATAGAAATAATCTAGTACACTAATTTAGGCTATAGACATAATCAGGAATGGCTTTATATAATACCATCGTAGTTTCTAGGAATGCGGCAGTATGCATCCGAGTTTAGCATCGTCGTAATTGTAATCCATACCATCACCGCCGTCATCATCATCGGAACCAGTGCTATCTTCGGTTACTGCGCCGCCGTCATCATCATCATCAAAGTCATTCACACCACCCTGACCATCATCATCGGATTCGGCATCTGATTGTTCCTGTTCCCTTGCTCTAAATTCTCAGCTTCACCGTTGTCATCCCCTTCACCATCAATTTCACCTTCTTCCTCAATTTCGCCCCAACATTTTCATCACCCCCATCTAACTGAAGTTCTACATTTTGATCAACCCCTACAATTGGTATATCAACGGAATTTTTTCCCCCGCTCCTTTACCAGCCCCTATTCTATGAAAAAGCCTTCTTCCAAATTAATCCCTTGAATACGACATTGTTGTCCTTCCCTCTTCACCTTCTACCCTCTGTTGAACAACCACCCCTCGGTGAATTTTCGCGTGCAAACCCATCCCACGCTCTAACCATTGGTTTATCTCCTCAAGAAGAGTCTTTTCCGTCTTAATATCCTCTTTGGCTGCTTTAATTCCCCGCCTTAAGTCTACTAGTCGCTACAACTCAATTTTCTTGATTTTTGACCTTATGTCGCTCGCTTCCGCGTGCTTCTTGTCTCATTCCTCCTCTAGTTCAACCAACTCTCTAGCAAGTTGTGAAAGCCTCTCTCTCAAGGCGGTTAAATCATCGGCCGGAAGAGTGGAACTAGAAGCGCCATTGTTAGCCATTAATTTCGAAATTTTGGTTTTCAAAATAAAATCAAATTTTAGAGAAGATGGTTGAGAAGAACAGAGGAAATAATTAATGAGAAATTTGTTAGGGAGTTTTGGGATTTTTATTGGGAATAAACCAAAGCCATAATTAATTAGCAGACATGTCTCTTCGACTGATGTCACTTCACGTCCAACACCACTGTAGTTCGCACTAATCTAGACGACGTTTGGTGTGACTATGTACTTGGGGCGTTTGGCAAGTGGGAATGGGAATTTTGGGATTATAGGATGGGAATGGGAATGGGATTTCATCAAATACGTCCAATGTCTTGTTTGGAAAGAGATGGGAATAGATGGGAAATAACATTTCACAATTACGAAAACACCCGTACAAAAATCATTCCAATTTCTATTTCATTAATGGCATTTTAGTCAATTCATTACTTGTTTCCAATTCCCATCTCTATTACCTACTCCCCCTAGGTAATAAAATGATGGGAATAGAAGCATTTTATTCCCATTCCCCTTTCCCCTTTATGCTCCCATTCCCATGAACGAACCAAACATGGGAATTACCATAGATTGGGATTAATATTCCCAATCCCACCCTCAATTCCCATTTACCAAACAACCCATTGTTTTTGGCTATCATGGCCGAGGCAGCAAGTACTCCCCCAGGAATTGCTAAAAATCCTTCAAGAGCGTCGTGTAATAAAAAGGAGTACAAGATGTACTACAACTTAGAGCATGTTTGTCCTAAATTCTGTCTTGATAGTTGTGAAGTAGATTGTAGCGCGACAATGTTATTGTCAAGTCAGTTATCAAGCCAACTCTCTCTTTGTAAGTTCAATCTAATCGGTCTTTTAAACGTATACTCGTAGAGATAAATTGTTATTACTGTCATTTTAGTGACAATTTTTTTAAAAAATAAACCAAGTTAAAGTTATTGCCATTTTAATTACAAAATAAGGTGTTTCAAATTAGAAGTACATTGTGTTACATTTAATGAAGCACAGTACATTACAAAATACGATATCATAATTCCAATTACAACTTAGTTTTACATGTTTACAAAATGATCACTTCTCAACAGTTATTGCAACTTTGGTTGCTGGAACTTGGATCCCTGTTTAGACCATACGTTCATCAAAATCAGAAGTGATCGATCCATCTGGCGGTCTATAAATTTTCAGGAGAGTTAACCAGCTAACGCTTCATGAACACCAATATCAACATACTGATCTTGTAACTAATCATCTCCAACTACGGTCTCGCGGAGAGCTGTAGCTCGTTTTCGGGTATTGTAAACCTATCATTAAAAGAAAAACAAACATATTAGTTAAAAGAATCACCGTTGCTCATAAAACCTACTAATTACAAAAGGTAAAGTATACCATTACTTTATCAGTGACAGGTGGTGGTAGATGTACATCCTCTGGTGTAGGCAGCACCGTAGTTGCAAGAGCCTGCAGTATGAAAATTTTAATAAGACACTAATATTAATTATATATGAAACACAAAAACTATGCATTCACTTCAAATGAACCTGTTTCTTTTTCCCCTTCATGTTATTGTAAACCGTCTCTAATAGAGGTTTCTTCCAGGAACCCTTGGGTCTACCACGAGGCCTCTTAAGTGGCATAGGATCAAGTACAAGTTGGCTGCTACCAAACACAGGTGGTTGGGTTATGCCCTTTTCTTATCCTGAATCGCATTGTACATGATCAACCTCAACCCATCCATCACTATCAACATCACTTTTATCAGCTGCTGTAGTAAATGGTTTAGTTACAGATGCCGGAGCAGCAGCCCCATCACCAGCGCTGGTAGACCCAATTTCTGATGATAATGGGTACTCCGAGGTTGAGACGGCTAGTGAAGCAAGTGCCTCTAACTGTTTAGCCCGCCTTTCTTTGACATCAATACGAAGCTGGGACAAACCTTTTATCAACAAATCAGTCGTGTCATCGTCTACCACGGATGCTTCGTCACAAATTGGTTCAAACCACGGATGCTTCGTCACAAATTGGTTCAAACTCACTCATGATTCTATTGAACCTCTTCACCTCCGATGACTGAGAAGGGTCATGGTATACTACCTTAACACGACTGTGCTTCCTAACAATATCTTTCCTCCAACGATCTAAAATGTACTTCTAGGGCAGGTCAAATACCAGATTCTTATCAAGAGCTCTTATGCAATGCTTGTAAAGTATACCATGAGTTTCAAACTTATAGCAATCACATCGAACCTCCTTCAAAATAGGGTTATACCTGACTCTATATAATCGACGATGATCAGTTATAATATCCTCACTGCGACCTTTAAAAACAATCCACACTATATCCTCTAGCGTGTACTCAATGGTGTTTTCATCAACCCACCTTCCACCCTTCGGGTAACAGTACAACATCCTAGATAATTCCATTTGGATCTCTTGGAATTTTGCATCTGTGTACAGCTTTTGAAATAAGCTCTCAAGCTTAAACCCACTTACTAAGCGACGAACATACTTCGTACCCGTAGCATCAACATCCTTTTCATCCATGACCCTCTTTTCCATTGCCTTTGTGTACTTAACAGGAAACTCAAACAACTTTGTCTTGCGGTTCACAAAGCCATCAAAAAAGCTGTTAATACTCTCCACACGTTGGGCTGTTTTCATCCTAGCCAAAAAATACTCTTTCATAAAAGATGGAATCCACATGTGCCTCTCCTTAAACAGACCATCCAACCACTCGTTCTTCTCCAAATCATATTTCTTCATACATTCTAACCACCTCATTTTAAACTCCTCCACCGTGAAACTTTCATAGATCACTGCTTTTAATGGGGACTTAAAATCCTTGTACCTACAGCAACAGACCACACAAAACCAATTTACTCAATTATACAATAAATTAGGAATCTTTATACACTCAAACCAAAATTTAAAATTGCAACACGTGTTTTAAAGCAATTATCGCACTTACCCGGTACATTTTCCAAGTTTTCCGGAAACTTCCTCATAATATGCCAAATACGCCAACGATGCCTAGAATAAGGCATCACTTTAGCCAGCGGCTTCCTCATGACTGCAGCTTGGTCCGTTAGAATAGCTCCTGGTGCTTTATTCCCCATGTAAGTTAGCCATTGGCGAAACACCCAACCATATGTATTACAATCTTCATGGGACACAAGTGCACAGCCCAGCAAATTGATTGACCATGGTGATTAACACGAACAAAGTTTGCAAATGGAAGATCATACTCATTTGTTAAGAATGTTGCATCAAAACAAACAACATCTCCAAAATCCTCGTAAGCCACACGACTACGAGCATCTACCCATAGCACATCCTTAAGCCTGCCTTTTCCATCTAGACGGTGAGCATGGCAAAAGTTAGGATTGTTAGCCTGCATTTTATCAAAGTAGGCCATCATCGTTGCAGCATCACCATCCTTCATTTTCAACCGCCTAGCCTTATACACCTAATGCTCAAGATCCTTAAGTTAGGCAAGGACTCTTTCTCATGAGACAGGCAGCCTCGAATCTGGGACACAGGAACACCCTCGTCAAAGAAGTTTAGTAATCTCTTCTTTACAGTGGAGGTATAATTCTTCATCATGTATTCTTTCACAAGCTTTGACTTACTTGGTACAGCTGATGCTCATGCTCATTAATCACCTTAAGCAACACCCACTCGCCTTCTGGGTTAACACTAGCATATATACTGGCAGGACATTCACATTTTTTAGATTTCCTTTTACCATGCTTAAGTTCATCCTGAGCAATAACACCATTAACATTTCCACCTGTTCCTGAGACATCCATTGCCTTCGCCCTCTTCTTGGCTTCCCTCTGAGCCCTCATGTCAGGAGCACCCCAACACTCACACCGCCAAGTGGTCCCCCTGCGAGCTTTGATTTTCTTAGAAAACACACCCTGAACCCGGCTCACACCAAAACCCTGCTGCTCCCCATATTGTTTGTAATAAAACTCTACATCATCCCATCTTTTAAACACCATACCCACGCGGGGGGGTTCCACTATAGTCTCTACACATACCCTATTGATTGAAACAATTGTTTCCACAGTTTGCACAATTTTCATTGGGGGGTGTAATCACTTCTATTACCACCAAAAGCTTCATCAGGAAACTAGAATAAGTTACCACCTTCTTCGACAGCAGTCATACATACATCATCATTCTCAACACCAGTATCAGTGTGGTGTTCAGAAGGTAAACTACTCTCCACTATATCCGTCCTAGAAGTGTCCTCCACAGATCAGGACACATAACTCCATCGAATTCATCAGTCACAACCCCACCTCGCAACACAACATCATCACTTTCATCACCAAGATTAACCACATCCATAGAATTATCATCCTACAACAGGCAACTTTTATAACCACTTTTAACAAATATAAACAACCTGAAATATCATTTAAACACCACAATTCTCATTCAAACCCTGACAATTAAAAAGTTAAGGGCAAACACAAATACTTGGACATACAAACAGTTCTCAACTAATATAAACACCTGAAATATCATTAAAACACACATAGTTCAACAAACTACACATTCTATAAACTACTTGTAAGAATGCCTAAGGGCTTCCATAGCTTTTCTCCACACGGGACTCTTAAGGGCTTGGGTGATGTTTTTGGGTAGGGTAGTGTCATGAGCTTCGACGTTGAGGTTTAATTTGTTTATGGGCTTGCGGATACCATGTTGGAGGCGAGTGATTATTTCAGGGGAGGTAGGAGAGGGTTGCGGGGAAGGTGATGAGGAGGTTGGTGAGGATAAGGAAGGATGGGAACATGGCGAAGGAGTAGGTGATGTAGGGGAGGTATGAGGGGGAGAAGGTGGGGATGTGGTGATTGGCGAAGTAGGTGCCGTAGGAGGATTAGGTAAGGGAGTAGGAGTGGGCGTGTGTAGGGAGTGGATGACTAAGGGAGCCCATTGTTCAAGTAGTTCATTGTTGGATGTGCATGGGGATGTCGTTAGTGATTTGTAAGGGAATAT